AAAGAGTGCCAAGGGGCCGCAAGCGCTCGCCCCCCAGCTGTACAGCTTGCCGTGGACCGTCACTGCCGCCTGGGAAAGTTGGGTCTTGGTGTTCGGGTTCTGCGGATTTGGGTCTCCAGAAGTGTAGGTTTGGGGGTTCGGGGCTTAATGGTTTCGGTTTTGGATCCAGCAGTTTAGGTTTGGGGGTTGGGCTGTAGAGGGTGGCGGGCTCCTGGTGGCTTTGGCGAGAGCGCTTGGTGGTGGCTTGTTGCAGCGGTTGTGCATGGCAGTTGTCGGAATTCGGGGTGGCCATGGGTTGGCTTCAGGGTAAAGAGCAGTTTGGGATTTGGCGCTGGATAGGTGTTGGAGCTTTCTGGGCTCTGCGTGGGCTTCTTCTAGGGTTTTGGTGGATGGGCGCGCAACCGGGTTGTCTCTTTAGTTTGGTGGGGCAGGAGTTGGGTGTATGGGCTGGTGAGGGGTTGGGGGAGGGGGTCCATGGTCCTGTCTTGGAGACGTGACGTTCCAGCGTTTTCACTTACCTGCATCAAGCGTGTACCGAGCGATCTCCGAACCCTGCAGCTATCGATCGACACACGAGCTCCACACACGGAGCATCGCTTTTCGAACTGCAGGGCCCGTTACCGCGATCCGAAAGCCAGGTACCCACCCCACAGCGTAAGTACCACCCACACCGTCAGATTCACGTACCTGGTCCAAGCTTGAGGGCCTCGAGCAATTATCCAACCCAAAAGGTGTCGCCAGTGCTAGAAGCCATGCGGCCAACCAATGCTTCACCCGATGGTGATGCAACGATGCTACCGCCCGCCAGACTGCCAGCGCAGTTGGACATGCGCCAGCGCTTTCGCAAGTATGTACTAGTGGCACTAGTGACTGTCTAGTACCACAGGACATTATCATTCTCGGTGAAAACCGCAGCACATGAGTGACGTTGTTCCTCTTTGCCATGTCCTACGGCGTGTGTTGGCCACGCTGCATGAGCGGGACCAGATCGGGTTGAAGGGGGATGACCTCGCAAATCGTGGCTCCATTGGCCACAAGAGAAGTGCAGTTCTGAATGCAGGCCCCGTACATCCCACCACGCGAGCTTGAACCACTTCCAAGCTGCAAAAACCGAAAGAGCCAGCTGCACAAGCCCCGCCCCACATCGTTGGTTCCAGAGCTTTAGGGACCAAACCCCGACCTGCAAAAGCATTCTGACGCAGTACCTAGCCGGCAGCTATAGTGAAGACTGCAAAATTGATGGGGAGATCGATCTGCTTAAACCGATCGCGTATGCTGCCCTGGACACTCCCAACGAGTTTGCGTCACTTCCAGACCGTTGACTGTTCACCGCAAACCCCAGCAACATCTCTGGGTCTCGGTCTGTGTGGCCATCTCCCCCTGCAATCTGGCCTCAGTGGAATTCTGTTTGTCTGCAGGCACACAGGATGCGGGGCATGATGTGGAGCCTGGGATCTGGAGTTCTAGGACAGTAGGGGTTTAGGTTTAAGGAAAGCTTATATGTGAAGACTTCTTCACCTGAATGTGTGTATCTGATTCAAGGGCCAGCAGGGTGGTGCAAACTCCAACATTCCGACCCAAGGCATCACCCTGAACCGAATCGTCGTGCATGCCGTGGTCCATACCGTACTGCCTAGTGCCTAATCACAGCAAGAATCGATCCTTCTTCTGCCCACGCGTCTTTCCGTCCATCTATGCTCGAAGATTTAGGGTCTCGTGGTTTTGAAACTTCTGCTGAGCCGGCCACACACCTTGATTCGCTTGAAGGCCTCAGGCATGGGAATGACGATGTAGTGTTCGTTCGATTGTAAGGATACGGGGTATGGTTTCGGATTTGGGGGGATTGAGAATTTCTGCCTTGGCTGCTTCAATCGCTCTGTGAAATGCCACAATGATCCTCGAAAGGAGCGGAGGCTACCATGGTAGATAACATCTTCTCGGGCACAAATAAGACGACATGGAATTCTCGAGCAGTAATCTTACCAGTGGTTCAATGCCAGTTGTATGGTTGTTTGCTGCTTGCTGCTGCCGCTGCTGCCGCTGCTGCGGCTGCTGCGGCTGCTGCTGCTGCTGCTGCTGTCGGTGCTGCCGCTGCTGCCGCTGCTGCCGGTGCTGCTGCTGCTGCTGCTGCTGCTGCTGGTGCCGCTGGTGCCGCTGGTGCCGCTGGTGCCGCTGGTGCCGCTGGTGCCGCTGCTGCTGCTGCTGCTGCTGCTGGTGGTGGTGGTGGTGTGTTCGCTGGTTTTGTTATTCTTGTTGAACCGCCGCAACGAATCAGCAAAGTCTGGGTAATGGTTGCCTCCTTCGCGAGGTGCGTGCGAGAGCATACCGTGATCCCGGTGCGTGACGATGCATCTCGGCGCTTGCTTGGTCTCTGCGCGGTTGAAAAGATGAACCTGTGAGTGTGAGTGTGTGTGTGTGTGTCTGTCTGTCTGTCTGTCTGTCGGTCGGTCGGTCGGTCGGTCTGTCTGTCTGTCTGTCATTGTCTGTCATTGTCCGTCATTGTCTGTCTGCCTGCTTGCCTGCCTGCCTGCCTGCCTGCCTGCCTGTCTGTCCGCGTGTGTGTGTGTGTGTGTGGGTGCGTGCGTGTGCGTGTGCGTGCGTGCGGGTGTGTGCTGGCGTGATTTATTTCACAGAGCAGGTTAGTGGAGCAGTCTGCACCTGAAAAGGAGCTTCAAGTTCAAGTAGCACGGTCGGTCAACAGGACGCCGCTGTGCCATTTCTTGTTAGCAAGAAGAACAAGACAGATCAGGCAACCCGTCGAAAGTGCACCGAAAACTGAAGCGGCCTTACTTGGCGAACCACATACATTAAGTGGGATATCATACAGACTCGGTCTGCCAGGACAGCTGCGCGATTGATACTCGGCTTGCACGAAGATGGCACAAGAAAGCTGCCTGTGAGTTTTACTCGCGCATCGGCATCCGAGGCTGTCTCCGTTGGGCTTTGCAAGCCCTTGGGTTCGCTAGTACTTCGGCTGTGATCAGCCCTCCATTTTCATCCTTTGCAACGCACTGCCTGGCACGTTATAGAAGCGTGCTGGACCGAGCCGAAAGGCTTTGTGCTGCTTTGGATCCTCTCCCTTGTGTTGTCCTGGCAACGGCCTGCAGACCGCTGAGATGGCAAAAAGCAAGACCTGACAATCTTGTGGGAATGTTTCAGCCAGTGTGAGCCTTGGATGAGCTGCAGCAGTGCACAGCAGCGCCTCCTGTGTTCCATGCACATGAAGTTGTACAAGCAGCTCTGCAATCAATCAAGAAGATCATGTGCCAAGGCCGTGAGACGATGCGGCTGACGCGTATGTAGAGGTGCGGATCGGCTGTTGTGCGCATCGTAAAGACTCGCATCACTTCTGCGAGTGGGGGAGATGTGGGAGACAGAGGAGGCTGTGCATTTGGCTGAAGAGCGGAGCGAAGGTGCCACCGAAGACGTTTCAAAAGATGCGGAGGCTTTTGTCTTTTCGGTCGGGTCGTGCGACGCGTTCATTTCTCCAGAACTAGCCGCAGCGACGTCTGATCCACACTGTCAGCAGACGCGTGAACCCCCGAATGGGGTGCCTAAGTATATCACGCTACAAACTAACAAAAACGGCGCAGTCATCCATGTAAACTCGAGAAGCTATTGCCACAAGGCTCCATCCTGTGTCCGAGCGGAAACTTGCTGGCATTCTCCTCGGCAACTGTTGGCAAGTTACAGTTTGCTCGCCCGGACAGTGTCGTAAAGTTTTAATAAACACCGTGTACAGTAGGCAAACGAGCCGGTGCAATCAGGACATATCACCAGACTATACCAGACTTGCAAAGCAAATTGGTGCGAAGGCGATGAGTCCTTCGGAAGAACATCCACACATACATAGTACATCCATGCAAAACGCCTAGCTTGCTTTCAACATCCCCAGCACGCGGAGAACTCGGGCCGTGAAGGTACATGAGTGCCATCCGAAACCTGCCAAGCCATGGAAGCCAGTTGGCTGCCAGCTGTCTGAGTGGGAAACAAAAGGCAAGGGAGACTGCACCGAGCCACACTTTATTCCACCGGCTTGCACCGTGCGCGCACCACTCATCGTTGTCGTCCGATACTAAGTTATCCGACGTAAAAGACAAGTGTGCGCTGGTATACTCTGCGAATCTCTGTGATAATTTTAAAGCAGGGTTTAGTGAAATGTAGGACAGCATTCTTTGCCCGCCCCAGAGGTGAGTTGGGCACAATCAATTCTACCTCTACGAATGCGACACGCGGATCAGAACCAGAAATATTTTGCAGGCTCATGACTATCAACATACTGAACGAAATCAACAAGACACCCTGAGATGAGGAGTGCATTGGGAGATCCGGCTGGCTCCACAGAGTGTTTTTACCCTGTTTGCCCCACGTCGTTTGGAGGAGATCAGTACTGTAGCCCCACTTGTCAGAAATCAGTATGTGGGCCAAGCTTGCGCGCACGCTGCACCTTTTATTATCGGTACAGAGTTGGTAAGACTGTGTTGTGTTCGAACGACTCGCTTGTCTTTCGTGTTCCTGAGTGTGGTTGGTGTCGAGCATGATTGTCCTAGTGACAGTGGGTCAGGACATGTCAGACATGTCGAAACTAAGATCAAAAGGAACCAGTGCTTTTGCTGTAACAAGCTTGACCACCCGGCTGCAGTGTTCAATGAGCGTTCGCCAAAGGATCCTGCGAGGACACTTGCTCGGCCTTCCAGTCTTGCAAGGTCTGCACTGCTGTGACATTTGCAGGACCATGCATTTCCGCAGGAGAGCTGAAAACGAGTTTCGAGCATGTCGACATCCCACCCCACCCCCCGCAGAGTTAGAAACGACCCCATCTGGCTCTGTTTGCATCTGCTCGTATCCACTCCTTTTGGGCTCGAGCCGAAATTTGCACGCTTCTCGGCGACCAGCCGCTGCCCAAGTCAGCTCACGTTCGTCTTGGAACTGGTGCGATTCTGCTTTAATTTATGATTCATGACACACTGCATGAAGCTGCAAGGCTTTTGTGGACAGCCATGTACCAATATCAGGCCTGAAGCTGGCGTGGCTGCATGCTCTACCCGTGTACTTGCATGACTTTGCATTCTTCCATACTTTGCTTCTCGTGCACTGTGAGTGCGGCCATGCAGTGGCCGAGCTCATGGGTTCATTGCTGTGTTTGATATTTTGCGATTAGCAGTCTGACAGCCGCCGATTGTTTGGCCAGATTCGAAATGGCGGTGCCGCTACGCTTTCTGCTGATGTGTAGCTATATAGCAGCTATATCAATGTTGCAATTGCACAAGATAAGGTTTGGCTTTTTTCAACCAGGTCACCAAGAGTGGGTTCAGTGTGCGCTTTTCGTACTGGAAGGAGCAGTGCTAGCAGCATCGTCTCGAGCTCGATCGTGCACAAGCTTAACCTCCTTTGCTTTTTTCATTTGCGCCGGACATGTCCCTGCAATCACCTGTCCAGGCTTGTCCAGGGGGAAGCAGTGCATGTACATGTGCAACCGGACTTGCTCTCAGTTCCCAGAGGGGGCCTGCCAGGACATTGAGGAAGATGGCAGTGGCTCGGACTTCTTGTCAGAGGACGCTGGCATTGCAAGTGGGACCTTCCTGAAGGTGTTCTGTGGCTATGGGGCCCGGGATCAGGTTGTGCACCATGCGTCGATAGTGCCTATGGTCTGCTTTGTTAGTGGGGAGCCCAGTGGATGCCACATGATTTCGTGCTGTCGACCTGTTCGTAATCTTACGCAGCGTGGTGCTCAGTTCTGTTTGCATGCTGTTGGCGCCGGTGTGGATGAATTGACAGGACAATCGTGAGCCAAGAAGCCGAACTACAATATGGAGAGCCCCTCACTGAGCTTGACGCCTCAATGCCTTTGTTGCAGAAGCCTTGGTCTGTTGCGACATGGAGAGCGAGAGCCCCAGAGAAGCATCATACATCGATGTTGTCGAGTTGAATTTGGCAGCGGTGTGTTTGACCAAGTTGGTTGATCCTCAAAGGTGGGTGATCTTGAATGTTGAATGGCATAAGTAGGAGTTTCAATGTCATCACCGTGCAAGTGAAACGGAATGAGGGTGTCAACTCCAGCCATCTCCTTGCCGACACGGACAAACGTCCGTGGCTGGCAGCTGCTGCAGTATGTTCCAGGTTGCTGGATTGTCAGCCACTCTTTTTCTTGCACGGACCCAAGCGTTCGATTGCCTGTGGAGAGTTCAGGAATGTTGCTACTGCGCTTTGCATCGGCAGATGTGCTGACAAACACTAGTCACTAGGAATCTCCACCAGAGCATGAACTGTGCCACCGAATTCACCTGGTGTGCTAAGGTGGCTGCTGCATTGCTGACCATCCCTGCTTCAGCACCACTGAAGGCCCCAAGCTGAGTTGCTCCGCTGTGCTGTTTTTGGCGCTGACATGTGCTGCACGTATCTGGGCGCAGCACTGCTGGCCCGCTCTCACGGGCCGCCTGAACTGTGCTTCCATGTCGTCGAAGTGTTCTCCCTTTGTCCTTCGGCATCCTTCGGCCTTATTATCCTCATTTCAGGGGTGCGAACAGCGGGTGCGGAGCTGCGTCGCATCCCTGCCGGCCCCGCCTCATACCTCGATTCGACCAAGCCAATGGATCATGTCTCAGGCTTGCTCGGACAAATTTGCATTTACTGCGCCTACTGCAATGGGCCGCTTGTGCTACGATACTGAACCTAGCCCGCTTTGGATTCCTGTCTGGCCGCGTGCACCTTCGTAGCTGCTTCGGTTGGCAACATGTTCTGGTCATGCGTGGTCCAGCACATTACACGTCCTCGTTTTCGACATCACCCCTGCCGTACACAGTGTCCTCGTGCTTTTGCTTTGGCATCGCGTTGGTGCAAACCTGGAATGCGTTGGACAGTCGCGGAGGATGCCAAGGGCCAGCCCGCATGTGCAAAGAAACAGATGTGCTAGCTACTCGTATGTAGTTCTTGCATTGCCCTTGATGTCATCCCCTGTTTGCAATCCCCAACGGTGGCTGAGACCATCTGCAATTTGTTTTGAACACCAAAACCCCCTGCCAAGCTTATTAAGCCAAAAGGAATCCGCACGGGGCGCCTATTTCAGAGAGCCCTTGCTGTAGTCATCGAAGATTGACAAGAAGAGAGGTGTTGTGCTGCCAGCTGCTACTTGTAGCCTCCTAGCACGCGAGGCCAAGATTGAGGGGGTCATGTCAAAAAGCGATGACTGGATAATGAGTGGCGTCTTCACGCCCATGCCTGCATCTCAGACTTGTCGGAACGTTCACTGCAGTCCGTCCGCCTTACTGCCTGCTGGTGTAAGAGTTCCAAGCCGCACGGATCAAGGTCGCTCCCTGCATCAGTTGCCGGTCCCAGCGTGACTCAGCTGCAACGTTTTGGGTCGGATAGTCTAGTAAATTCCTATTGTCGTCGCACGACCCGCACTAGAAAGAGCAACAAAATCTATAGTGGCAGGATGCAGCTGCAGACAGGCAACACCTGACAACTGCACAGGTTGGGCCGTCCCTTAACCAAATGTCACTGTCCGTTGTTGCAAAGATCACGCAGTCGCGGACTTGCACGATGCTGTCGAATCCTGAGCGTGGGGTGGTTTGAGGCAATTGCGCCAAAAGCGGACCTCAACGACGGCAATCCCTGCAATGATGACGAGGATCTGAGCAACTTTACTCTGCTGCAAAGTAGTGAGCATTCATGTCAAGTCATACAGCGCAAACATTTGACTGGTTGGGAAGGGAACCACGGCCAACAACGTTGAAAAGACTGCCCTCGTATGGTGTTGCCGTTGCACCGCAGATCTATGGAAAGATGGGTAAAGAGGGCATTCTCAGTCGAGTTCCTCTCACGATGTGATTTTATGCTTTTTGCAGGAGAAGTTCGAAGGTATTTGCTATAAGAAGTGCTCGATTCTTACCGATGGCACCTTGGATTCAAGCCAGCGGAATCAGCAAAGGTAGTTATTCTCGAGCTTCGGTTGATATTTATCACGAGCTTATCAGATGTTTAATGAGTCCAGAAGCCAAGGCACACACAACATCCGGACCACCGCCTTCACCTGTTGTGCAGCAGAGAAGATTGAGGCCTGGCAAGCGGACGAGGATGACCTGCCTCTACTCTTTGCCACAATGCAAGGGCGACAAACGAAGAGCACACAAGCAAGGCGAGCCCGAAAACGTTGCGGATCTCATTGCGTGATTCGGGGCAGCAGGGCCCACGGCAACGTACCAGAACCTGCGAAACAGAGACAAGACCCAACTGAAGCCTACGCAGCAACAGACCATCCCTCCCCCCCTCGGTTTTGAAAATCTCAAAGACCCTCGACCTCTCTCCAGCACGGAGGCGTGCTTTTTGGCCAAAATGGATGCTTCAATATGCTTCAGTGTAGCACTGAAGCACTGTGCTGGTATGTTGTTGTGCCACGATGTGCCGCGTGAACCGGGCTCATGTAGCATCAGAAGGTGCAGCACAGGAGACCTTTGCTTCGGCATGCCAGAATTATTTACCAGGCAGAGCGTAGAACATGTCAAGCGTCAAGCTACGAATGGCTCGTTCTTTGGCGATTTGCCCCCCACGCTGCTTCAGCACATGATTCCGCAACAATGTTGCGCGTTTCTTAATCAAGTAATGGCGAGTGTTATGGTCAGCTTCTACCCTCTTGCTTAGACTGTCCCAAGGCCAGGGCCAACGGATGTCATCGGTTTTTCCATAACCTCTGAGACTTAACTTGAACCACGTTGCCAGGACTGCGGGTTCAACAACCAGGAGGTGTTCGGCTCAGCATCCACAATTTCGGATGTTCATGCTTGGCGACCATGGTTGGGACACACTTTTTCATGGCATACACAAGTAACACGTGGATTCCCGAGTTATGGGCCTTCTGACCAAGTAGAGCTCAAGCAGGGTCAGCCACGTTGGAGCCTGAACAACAGGTACACATTATGAATTGCTGTGGCTATCTGCAAGCGGCTACCTACAGTGCCACCGAAGATTCTGCATACTTCCCGTTGATCTTTCCAAGAGCTCAGATGAAGATGGCCCTTTGCGATGGCTTTGACGTCGCTGGAGACATCAATGGCCAAAAAGGTGCGACAGCAGCAGATGCAAAGTTGAAAATGACGGCGGGAAACTTCTCACAGGACAGCCACTCTATCATATGGTGAGTATACGGTTTTCCATTGTGTCATGCGCCTGCAGTTTACCTTCGGGCTTTCTGAGAGCATATCACGGCTGTCCTGCGATGGGAGCTATCAGTTCAGGCTAAAGCTTTGTTAATCGTCTATGAGGGCTCAGCGTCGTCAAACCCGTCAGCACTGCCATTGACTGCCATGGGAGAGCATGTGGAAGAATATGAGACCGGCTGATGCTGAGAAGACTGTGATCGCAGCGAAGGTGCCTGCCCGCACAACAAGGGCAACTGCTATGCAAACGAGGATGAACCAAGGGTCTGCCGAGTTTCAAGACCCGATAAGACCCAGCAAAGCTCTGAGCAGAAGTGCTGCAGGAGCTCTTTCTTGGACAGTGCTACAAAAAGTTTGGGCCTCAGATGCAGCAGACAAACCCAGGGATGCGACCACGTACAATAGTAGATCACGGACCAAATACAGGGATGAGCGTCGGCACATGTATTAGCATTCAGTGTTGTTTGCATTGGACGGATGCCAAGGTGCAGCGAGCTCACTGGAGGTGTATATCACAATCGAATCTCATCATTCTCCTGCTGCAAGGTCACCGAGAGTCCGAGATGTAGTGGTTATGTGTGTCGTTTGTCTTTTGCGTACTCTTCCACAGATCGCTTCTGCGATGGCTTTCTTAGCTGGGTTGCGCTGGTACTTGTTGCATGGGTGTGTCTTTGCAGAAGTGCTTGAACAGAGAGGGCCGGTTTTTGAGTGCAACGATTTCACTTGTGGCATCTCGTGGGCTTGATTGTGTACTTCCCTTGTTCCTTCCGGTGTCTGTATCTAGTATTGTTGGACTTTGCCTCATATCCCAAAAGCCGTCGAAAACTTACGGTTTTGCAAGTCGGAGTTCAAAGAAAAAATCTAAGTCGATGCAAAGACTTCTGCCCAGAGGTAGTAAGCGTGCCAAATGCCGGAAGCCATGCCGATGCCAGTACAACCTGGACCATGTTTGTAGTGACCAACAGTCTTGCACTTTAGTTTGTCATACTTAGCTCCATGAGGATTCGAATGTCAGGTTCTTGCTACTCCTGGGTTTGTCATGTTCCTATGCGGTACTGTAATGGCTCCACAAAGTGACGCTCCCCATAGCATGAACGCGATCAACTTGCAGCCCGCCTGTCGCATATCGGCAACTTTTGATGATGCCCTGAGAATCTCGATAATCTGATCACTCTTCAGTCAAGCTGCGAGGTTCTAGCCTAGCTGGAAATCGGAATGAACAGGCCCGCAGCAGTCCAAAGCGAGATAGAATAAACAAACTGTCCAACTTGATACCTTTCCCACCTCTTGCCACAGATGCTTAGTGGGAAAGCTTGCCCTACCGACGGCTCAACTTGGCGATTTCCCTGCCAGATGGACAGCTACATGCAGTGCAACCCGTTTGCCTTCGTGGACTCGCAAGTCAAAAGCGATCCCTCGCCAGTATCTCGGGTAGCATCTTGCAGACGGTAGTAGTTTAGCAGCTGAACCAGACTCACATGTCACTCTGCTGGCTTCTCCGTGGCCCTGACTGAACATCAGGTTCAATGTTGGCGGCGAGCCCGGCAGCTCGCTCGGTGCCTGGCACTGCTCCATGTGTGCGCAAGCTTGTTGAGAGTTTCGGCTTTGTTGCAGAGCAGGGAACCGACTGAAATCCTGTTCACAGACTGCTTTCAGGCCACACTTTCCCATCAAAGAGCTTGATGAGGCATGACGTTAGCATGAGGCTCGGCAGGCCAGTCGTGGGTGGGCCCCCTTAACCCCGCTTGCTACGCGCAACCCTCTCTCTTCCCAGTCATGGGCTGGGCGCAGACCCAGTCCCTGTCCACATTAACATTGAGTCATGTGCTGGGGACCAAACGCTTTGTCCTTCGCCGGTGAGGCCACGTGGGAAGTCTGGCAAAGCCCTGGCAAAGAGCCTAATTCGTGCACGTTAACGTGGAGGCATCGCGAGAACAACGTTGTAGCTCCATCACACACGCGGTTGGAGTCTATACGGTGGTTTGGGCGGACAGAGTTGATTCGGAGACGTAACGGAGCTGGGAATCAGGACCCTGCATCCATTGCTAATGAGAGCTGCCCTGTACAGTGCAAGGCACAGCGGTGACATTCGAGGGATTGAGAAAGTAAGCGACCGTGGACCGTGCTATGGACCATAGTAATTCAGGTCTCGTAGCTCGAAGTGGCTCCCTGCATGTGAACGTGGCTCGCACGAGCGGTGTGCGTTGTGTCACGCAAACTAAGCTAGCAACGACTTGCAAGGTAAGGGTATGTAAGGATTGCCGCATGTCTTTTGCAAAGAACCTTCCTTGGCAGTCTCGGTTTCTGCAGTCTTCCGGTGGCGGTGCTGTGGCTTTGGCTATCTCTGGCTGCTGTGTTTGGTCTTGTTGTCCATCTTCAAGTTGCTAATACTTCGGCGGATCCTTTGCTGGTGGAGATAATGATGCCCATGGCGGTGGGCAACTGTAATGTGCTTCCAAACTCACCCAGCCGGTATCTCAGCGCATGGATCTGCTTCATGGACTCGACGATGATGCTAAGACCAGGAGCAGTCTTGGCTCAACTTTCGTTGCGGGGTAAGGTTATTGCCGGACAGGAGGAGTTGGCCGTAGATCTGCAATGGACATGGAGTTCAATGCTGTGAGCATGGGGGAGTGGGCCAAGCCACTTGTCTCATGTAGCGGGCAATCAGCTGCAGTCTGGGTTGATTGGAATAGAGGCACACGTGGAGAAAGAATCACTTGGACTAAAATTCTGAGCAGCAGTCTTGCCGTGAGAGTGCGAGTTTGTCTCATCTGAGGACGTTGCTGCATCTTTGCTTTTGCTCCTTGGTCTGCAGGATGAATCAGGTAGCAGGCATTGAGCACAGGCCACGGTGTTGCGTGTAAGGTAGATGCAGCAGGTGCAAACAGACAGCTGGTATGATGTGTGGAATGCAATCAGGTCTCGTCCTGGGTTGGACGAACAGCATCATGATGTTCAGGTGCGTCTTCGCTGCACCGCTCCGGTGATTTTGGAGCCTTGTGGAACTGACTCCCCGTCCTGGGCAGATTTCGCGTCTTTGCCACGATGATGGTAGGTGTGGCACTCAGCATCAGTCATGTGCCCATTATGCACATAGCGCATGGTCCACCTGCCTGCAGGAAACACGATTCTTATGGGAGTCTCTTTGGCATGCCAGGAGGGCTTGGTGGTGTGACCTGGCTGTTCTAGAGCTGTGCGACTGAGAAGTCGACTGAGTTCTAGACTGTTCATGGAACTGCACTTTTATGGACAGCGGCAACAAGATGCAACAAGGACTGGAACATCGGCAGTTCCTCATTTTGTAGCAGGAGACAGGTGCAGGCAGATGCAGGCAGGAGGCGCTCTCACGAGGGGTTCTTCACCGGCACTGACACCGAGCTCTTGCCCACAATCCTGGTCGCACCTTATAAGGTACACACGTCCATGTAAGAACGTGTCCAGGCTAGCGGCTAGCGGCTCATCTTTGGCAAAATACGGCACTAAGGAACAGCATGCACATGCGTAGTGAACTGGTTGCCAGTGCTTCATTATGCCACAAGACACTTGAGTGACATCTTAAGTGTTACACACTCTCGATTTCGGGCTCTTTCAGCAACATGACTTCTAACTAAGATCTTGAAAATCTTTTGTGCAGGTCAGCTTGCACAGATGCTTGCACTGAGGACGCCGGACGAAATCAAGCTTTGCCCCGCTGAGTTCCCGCCGCAAACCCAGCTGCAGCTAAGTTAACGAAACTCACAACCCTGCGAATGCTAGTGGACCCTGCATGATCTTGGGCTTTGCGAGCAACTCTTCCTTGGCCAATTGCCTGAGGCCACAGTACTATGCTGTCCTTATCCTTCTTTTTGTGTGCGGTGCGCACCTTGACTGCAGTTAGTACCACCGTCAAACTGGGCACTTCGATGTTGTTCTGCCTGAGTGACAGGCTGCTGCATTGCAGAATTTAGTTTGGGTGAGGGGGGTTTGAGGGGGGGGGGGGCGGTGGGGGGTCTGGGGTGGGAGGTGAGGCAGATTGACACCGTATTCCGGACAGATTCATTCCAGAGGTTTATGTAAGAATGCGAAGCAATACGATTTCAATGCGAGTTTGATTTGGGCTCGGAAGCTTTCCAGCAATCATATCTGTCAACCGCGTGAACATTGTATTAGAACCGTATCCAATCATAAGACTACTTATTCCTTGGATCTTGGCTGTCGTAGGGCACCGCCGGTCGCAAGCCTCATGGATATGACAGCTGACTAAGTGGGAGACATGGGGGACCATCCTGCACCAAGTATGCAGCACAGCAGTGGCACGTCTTGGCATAGAACTGGAATTGCTCTTGATTCGGTCCATCTGGTCTACTTGTCAACAGGCAGGGAACAGCAATGTGGACCAAAGCGGTAGCTGAGGTTTTTTCACGGGATGATGGAGAGCCTTGGCCAAAGACCGCGAAGAATGTCAAATTCTCAGAGTTTCAGCTATTTATCCGGGCTGCTTAAGCTTCCAGTGTCTCACGCGAGCATTTTTGAATGGCCTCCGGGTGCCCCCACTTGCACCTCCTGCCAATGTTGCACAGAGACAAGCCGAAGACGAGAACAGCGTGGAATCACCAAGATGCTTCGACCCATGTTTAAAACAAGCTTGGGCCGTGGTAACATTCGCATCATTCGTCCTGCTCCACAGCAACACCGTGCTGTCGTGTCGCGAAGATCCGATATCAATCAGGGAAACCAACGTCGAGCGACAGTGAGTACAGAGTCCCAGGTCCTCGTTGCCTTGTCAGTAGTGCAAGGGAACTAGCCACTTGTCGAAATCATCATTTGGAGAACCGCCTTATTCGAAAGCACTTGGCACGATTGTACCGTGGCAGTATGACTGCATGGTCAAGTCCACCCCTTTGTGACTTTGGTATTGCCTGCGCGCTACGAATGCTTGCCCACCCGCCACTGGACACGATGCAAGTCAAGATTTGCACAGTCTCCTGTTCGCCTCGCAAAAGTATGGTTGATTTCATGTTCGGGATATAATTGTAACAAAAAAGACAACATGACGCATCTCTGGGACTTCCTTAGAAACCCTTTTGCCCNNCCCCCCCCCCCCCCCCGCATGCAGGAGTTGCTTGATGTCTTGCCCTCTCTTCCAGCTTCATCTTATGTTCTTGAGAATTTCTCAGTCGACAGGTGTTCATTTCAGCTTCTCCCTCCAGTGATATAGGGTGCAGCGTGTTCTGTCAGCCGTTCCCCCCAGAAGCATCTTCAGTCTTCAGTGAGGTCTTTGTATCCGTAACCTTCCCCGAAATTGGGCCGTGCCTTGGGCGACTTTTCAACAGTGAATCGGCTATTACAAGCTGTAGATGGAAGGCCGGTCAGCGGCATCAGGTTTGGGGTGATTCACAGGCGTGCCGTGGGACTTGCCCAGGAGAGCATACAGCTGGACTCCAAGAGCATTTGCTCCGATGATCGTCCTCGCTTGGGCCCCAAGCATCAGTCCCGCCCGTCAAACCATGCCACTTGTGTCAGACTCCGAGAGCATCAGACCCGCTGAAAGAACTGGACGGCTTGATGAAGGCACAAATACTATTTAATAATTGAATGTCAATGTCTCCATGCCGCAACATCATGTGCACCTGCCCATGAATTCAACGAAAATTTGAATAACGCACGTTGCTGAGGTTATTGTTGCCGAAGAAATTCGAGAGCGTTGCAGCTTGAAGGCGAAGGCTCTTCACGATGACAAGTACTATGCCTACTTGCTGCTCGGTCATCCCTTCGTGGTTCTTGTCTTGCTTGCATGACATTCAACGATGAACACAGCAAGCCATGTCTCCTTTTGCACGTAGCAATCCACCCTCAGCACTTTGTAGCCGTAGGTTCCAGTGGTTGTTTTTGAGTATTCGCCACACTGAATCAGGGCCGGTGCGTGCTCCTGTGTTTATCCTGATCCCTTCACACTAGATCAGGCATGTCACGCTTTGCTGATCTCAGCTGTAGGTTTTAAACCTTGTCGGAGATGTGGCAAGCACAACCTTTGTTCCTACGACAGTCACATTTTTTGCGATGTGGGTCTTGGTCGTACCGTCTCTCTCGGACTCTTTCTTTCTCTCTCTCTCTCGGTGGTTTCGGTCTTTCTTATCTCGCTCGCTCGCTCTCGCTTCGAGTCTCAGTGTCCGTCGCTCTCTCCGATGCCTTCCGAAGTGCCAGACATGGTGCATGTTGAGGGTGCAAAGGTCAGTCGGTGAATGGTCAGGAATGTCGTCATGGGGAGGCTGCTGGTAATGTCGCAGCAGGACGCAGCCAACACATGGCCGTGCCAAAGCGATCCAAAGCGTTTTGGTCTGTAGAGCACAACTGCTCGTGCTCAGCACAGCCGGAAAGATACCACGTGCGCCTTGTTTTGGCCGGACGGAGGTCAGAAGATTTTGTCGGAAACTAGACAGCCGTCCTTTCTGCGGTTTTTTGATGGCACGTCGCAACAGCAAATCTTGAGATTTCGAGACGAGGCTGGCACCAGTCTTCGGGGTCACCGGCTCAATCTCGATGAAGTGTGGCTTGCAAGGCATCATGCATGCTGAAACTGGAGACCAAGCAGGGCACTGTCTCAAGGATTCAAGACTTTCTTACATTTTCGTGTCGAGACATGTACCCTGCAGGTGTGCCATGGGCGGCTTCAGGCAACCTGGCGCGCACATACTTGCGGAAACATCGTTCCTGTTTTTGTCAGCCGCCCCGGTGTTGTTCGGGGCTGGGTGTTTGACCCAAGTAACCGGAAAAAGACCTCGCCGGTCGGGGAGGGGTCGGGAGACCCAGCTGCCAGGGGGAAAATCGCATTGGCAGTGAAGGGGAGGGGTTTGGGGGGAGGGGCTGGCCCAGCTGGGTCTTTTTCCATCCGACTCCAAAGGCACGAGAGGCAGAGCGGGCTCACAATACTGCCGACAAGAGCCGCGCGGTCTTTTGTGTTGCGCCTGCTCCAGGGGCAAAGCCTCACGACAGGTAGGAAGGGAGCCGCAAGACTGGTGACGAGAGATTCTGGTAAGGCAGTAAAAGCCCAGATGCGTGAGCCGATGGCCTGTGTTTAGGCATGAGACCGAAACGGATAGAAGATCGTGTGTGCTGGTAAACCAATGTTGGAGGGGTTCTGGGGTTTGGGGGCACAGCCGCAGGGGATGTATAAGTCGTGTTTTTCCACTTGCGCCAAAGGCAAACCCTCACGACAGGTGGGAAGGGGACCGCAAGACGGAGGAAGACCGAGTGAAGGCAGGAAGTCAACCCAGAGGAAGGCAAGCACCCATGGCCCGGGGTGCCAGGGACCGACCAATAAGTCTGGTTTTTTTTCCGTTTGCTGCAATACCAAAGCCTAGCGACAGGTGGGAAGGGATGACCTTTGTCTAGGGGTGCTGCACCGGAACCGAGGAAAGACCGTAAACAACCCCAGACAGGGCAGGCACCTCGGAAAAAGACCCAAGAGAGATCAGGCAGTCAGATCGGAACAAGCCGAAGACAGAACCAGACCCAAAACAGGCGGGCAGGTGCGGGCAGGTCGGGAAAAGACACGAGACGACAAGCAGGGTGGAAAGAGAATCCAGACCGGGCAGGCCAGGCGGGAAACAGACCCCATACCCAGGAAGAAAAGAAAAAGACCCAAACAGAGAACCAGGCAGGAAAGAGACCCTGAAAAGCCGGAAAAGAACGCGAAGCCCCAACGGCTCGCTTTTGCTGTGAACTGCAATATTGAGTTTAGCAGAATAGTCAGATGAACCATCTCATTCGTCCACGGTACTTATTCACTCCATCGACGACATCAAAGAGCGTGGACATGCTGCCAAGCTCAGGAAACATGCTGAGTTCGGCGTACCACTTTGTGCCTGGCCTCGGTTCAGATACGGACTCAATTGTTAGTATATAATATATAGGAATGGTTTCCTGTGTCGTGTATGCTGTCAGCGTTTTCGCTTTTAGCGTTTCGGTTGAGAATCGGTGTTCATGAGAGCTGCTGCTGCTGCTGCTGCTGCTCCTGCTGGGTATCCAAGACAGACCGCTCATAGCATCTGCAGTTGACAGTGTCACTGTTGTAGCACGAGTCGCAGCTGAGGCACACTACCTTCAAGGGTCTGATGCCGAGGACCTCTATGCTCAAATTCAAGGATGCCGTCGAAAAGGCTGTGCAACAGGAAAAAGGGCCCAAGACAGCTGCCACTGACAACCGCGACCCAGCCGAGGGATCACTAGCGGAATCTTAGGCCGCATGTCAGGCCTCAGGATCTGGAACACTAATTCGAGATCGCAACGCGGTCGAACCTTCAGGCAAGTCCAAGTGGCAGCAGGGCTCTGGGCGGCATTTTCCTGCTTGGAATGTGCGGAACTTGTACAGCTCCCGAAGCAGAGTTCAGCAGGTTCTTCAGGCGTCGGGCATCTGGGCACGTGTACTTCCGGATCTCTAGCATAGCTGTTGGCCACGAGGCACTGGCACCCTCCACAGTAAGATGCTGAGCGCATGACTGCATTGACTGCACATGTGTTCAAACAAGACTTTTCGGCTTCAATTTGCAGCTAGGACCTGAAGAAAGCCGTCATCCCGCTTGGCATGTGGGTGTGTCTCGACAGCAAAAATGGTACTGTACTGGAGTCTTTGGCTTTTGCTGCAGCTGCGAGGTTCTTCCTCATCGGGGTAGTCCTGGGAAACTCTCACCACACCAGGCTCGTGGACAGACAGAACATTAACCCGTCAATTCAGCTACAAGACCTTGGCATTAACGTAGCCTGGTATGGGCGGTTGCACTTTCTGGCGGGATCGAGCGATTGGTATCGGAAGTTCAGCGTGATCGACAACGAAGTCACTTAGCGAATCCCAGCCAGTCGCCAGGTCCAGCCTCATTTGCATCTCCGTCGTGGCTTGTCGCCAGCAGGGAGATAGAATGATGTGTAGCTTAAGCTTGCAAAGGCACTTCAGACGAGGGTTAAGGCTAAGGATTCTGCGTGAGGACCAAGGATTGGGCACTGCGTACCAACCAATTACCGCGTCGTTGAACTGGTCGGATTTTTGTACATTTCAATTGGATGGAGCGGGAGCCCACCTACAATCGCAAGCTGTTACGAGCGGAGGATGACTTGTACTGGGGTTCGGAGTGCATGACAGGCATTGAGAGGCGGTTCGTTGATGCTTCCCAAGCATTGATCACCGTTAAGGGTCGGTCTCATCGGAAGCATGTTCATCGAACCCGCCACATTGACAGTCGTCCTTCACGACCTTCCCAGTGCCAGGCATTGGCCGTGCTCTTCCTGGCCATGAGCGCATCTTGTCAATGTCTTGCAAAGCCCCCAAAGCCTCCACATCTTGCACTTTCTGCAGGCCTTTCCGAGAACCCCCTTGGCCCCCTTGTTGATGCGGTCCTCCTCCCTCATGAAGGGGTCGCTCTGGAGCCTCCGAGGTGGTCCTGCCCAAGAAGAAGCAAGGTGCACCTGGTGTCATCGGCCAGTGACTTCTATGCGTTGCAAGAGGCCAGCTACTCTTCCTGAGAAGGCGAATACTAACTGTTTCCAACAAAGTCTCGGCATCGTTATTCCTGCTGCGAGATCCGCGTATCTCGTTCTGTGATGCCGTGGTTTCTTTTGCTCAGACATTTCTTCCCCTATGTGCTTTGTTACCTGTGCATTCTGCTGCGTTTGCATTAGTTAGTTTTCGTGTGTCGCTTTCCAATCCGGTACTTCAGATAGCTACTTGTTGAATCCTGGTGAGCCATCTCGTGGTATGCAAGCGGTTGGATACATGAGGTGGAAATCTGCTTTGGTTCAGCCGCAGAAACTATGCCTCAAACGCCACGAGAGGGTGTAAAGTCCACTTGGCAGGTACAGATGATCGGCAGGTTTATACAGTTATACATGCAAAAGCCGAGCCAATGTTCACACCGGGACCTGTCTAAGCCTTGCCGAAACAGCCAAAATCTGTGAAGAACAGTCCATGAGTGCATGTGCATTGACTTGTCGTGTGGAAGCATGAGCCTTGGACGAGCCTGTGAAATCCGGCCCCGTCGACTCCTCAAAGTGACGTCGCTTAGCTTTGCGCGAAACAGATGCTTGCCGTGCTTTGCTGCCTGCCGGTTGTGTTTTTAGGGTTGTGTATTCCGATCCATATTGGTAGCGGAGCCGGTTGCTACCGGTTCCTAGGTTAGGCTGCTTGCTTGCTTGCGCCTGCGTGAAGCCATGGCTGCAGCTGTGGCTGGGAGTTCGGAGGCACATCAGCTACCAGTGCCTGAAGATCCGTGGGACCAAGGTGACCCCTGGAGCGAGGGGCAGGGCAATGCCAACAAGGGCAATGCCAACAACAGTTCTCCGGAGATGCCGCCGTCGACTTCGTGGAGTGTGCTGAGCCAAGGCATGGCCCCTGCTCCGAGTGGACCTCCAGTTAGCTATGGGCCCATGCGTGCAGGGCTCGCGCCACAGGTGGCGCCGGGAACATGGGACGCCGGTGCAGGAAGTGCTGCTCCTGCCCTACCTCCTTCTGTTCCCCCGGGGTGGCTTGCTGCAGGACTAGGCCATGTCGGTGGTGCTCAAGGTTGCGTGCCAGGACCTTCTGGATTACCAGTTCCCTGGACTTGGCAAGCGCCGCCTTTCTGGCATATGCCGATGGGTCCCTGCCCAGGTGCCCTTTGGAACGCCCCGCCGGGCATGACTATGGAAGGCTCGGCTGCACCTCCTGGTGGGCAACAGGCTGCACAAGGCCCGTCAGGACCCCCTTCGTCTGGAAGTTCCTCTTCTTCGTCCTCTCCTTCAGGGGGGGCAAGGGGAGATGATCACGGCAATCCTGGCGACCTACCTGGACCAGGTGTTCCTCTTCCCGGCGGTGGTGCAGGAGTTCCTGGAGGGCAAGAGCCTGGTGGAGATGGGCCACCCCAGGGTGGCAACCTCCCGAATGTGGCTCCTTCTCCGGGGCCGTCGAGCTCAGCTGGAACCTCAGAGCTTCGGTCGCTGTTGCGGCGACGGGCTCGTGAAAGCAATCGCCCCAAGAGCTCCATCGGCAGCGTGAAGATAGAAGAATTTTACGGAGACCGCAAGAAATATCGCTCTTGGAAAAGAGCGATTGAGGCGCAGACCCAGCTCTACCAGCTCGAGGCGCAGGAGGTCACGATGCTGGTATATCTATCCACGAAAGGAGACGCCCGAGATGTGCTCGACCAGCTGGCGCTGTCAGAATATACCTGTGCCGGGGGGGACGTGGTGCTTTGGAAGCTGCTGGATGAGAGCTACGACGAGACCTCTTGCGAGCAGTTCGAAAGGGCCGAGCGGGAGCTGCAGGCATATCGCCGCTTGCCTGGCCAGTCGATTGCCAGCTATGTTGCCGGGATGAAACGGCTCAAGGCCCAGTATGTGAGGGTGGACCCAGAGACGGTGATGAGTGCCAAGGCCTGGGGACAGCGACTTTTGAATCGTGCTTCCTTGGGCCGCCGCGAGCGCTTGGATGTGTACTACAGTGCTGGTGGCTACGACCCGACCCAGATCGAGGCTGCTCTTCGGTACCGGTGTGCCACAGTGCATGAGGAGGAGCGCCGTGTCCCCGCTTCTCTCCCGAGCTCGCGTTCGACGACCTCCTCGGCACGGTCCACGGCTCCCTCTACGGCTTCTTCCTCGGCAACTCGGCGGTCGAGCTCTACTGCGTCCCGTGGCTTTGGGTTTCGAAAAAGGAACTCGGTGCACGTGGCAGGTGCCGAGCTCGAGGATATCGAGGAGGAGGAAGACCTCGACAAGATTGCCCTGGAGGGTGAGTTTGCCGAGCCCGCCCTTGACGACGAGCCCGAGGACGAGCTCGACCAGGAGGAGGAGATGCCCTTTGAGGACGAGGCCGCCTCCCAAGATGGCACTGTCGACAGTGAGGCGGCGTTGGAGGCGTTTGCGGCTGGCTGGAAGGCAAAAGGGAAGCAGGCGGCACAGCGAAAGGCCCGTGGATGGAGCCGGCCCACGACCTCTACGACATCCTCGCCGACACGGTCTCTTGCAGACAAGAAGCGCTCCTCTACGTGTGCCAGCTGTGGGCAGACTGGCCATTGGAAGGGCGACCCGTGTTGCCCCAATGTTCTGTCTGGCAAGGACCCGCCGCACCAGCCGACGCAGCGCAGGGCCGACCACGGCCGGGACGTGAACTTCGTGAACTTCACCTTTGTTGCCGGCTCGCCTTCGCCCGTGGCTTCCCAAAGCAAGCGAGAATGGCAAGTGGTTGGTGGCGCTGGCGAGGACGATGACCTTTACATCCAGACGGCCGGCGCTCAGGCTTCGGACGCCCCGCCCCGGCCGATGCATGATGTTCGGGTTTCAAAAGGGGCCCTGGGAAAGACTCACGACAAGGATGCCAAGGTGAAGCTCACTCCCCTCGAGGCATTGGCGGCCGTGGACAACATGACAAAGGAGGAAAAGAAGAGCTTGCGAAAATGGCTTCAGGCTGAAGAAGACGAGGGAGCGAGCACCCAGGGCAGCAGTCAGCTGCCCGTGGCGCCCCGTTCCGGAGGATGTCCTGATGATGTGCGAGCTGCGGGCCCCCCTTTCGGTTACCCTCCGGCTGCTGCGGTTCCCTGGCCCGAGCGTGATGCTTCTCTTCGTGTGCCTGCTCCTCCTGCTCCTCCAGTTCTTCGGCTTCCAGTTCGCAAGGACGACCGCGGGCGAGACAAGGCGAAGGCTGTGCTGCAACGAGAGATGGAGGAGTTTCGCCAGGCATTGTGGGAGCGGTCTTGGGACGGGCGAAGAACCTCTCCCTCATCGGCGGCTCCGGTGGCTTCTGTGTCGCAGGCCCGTTGCCCCCACAGGTTTGAGGATTTGATTTTCAGTGGGAACCAGCGTGCTCATTGGGCCCGGTGCAAGCGGTGTGACCTGAAGCACGTTTTGTACTTCTCAGAGAGGCACGGAGTACTGGCATCAACCGTGGTGCCGGCTACCTCTCCGGCTCCTTCGCAAGTGTTTGCTGCTTTTGGTGGCACGGTGGGGCAGGTGATCTTGGACAGCGGCTGCAGGACAGCCGTTGCTGGGGCGTTTTGGCACGAGGCCCTTCAGCAGCACCTGCGCTCCAAGGGCATATCGTGGGAGACCGTCGAGGAGGATGAGACCTTTCAGTTTGGCGCCGGGGCCCCCGAGAAGTCGAGCATGGCCTGCTTGTATCCAGTTGGGATTTTCGGCCAGGTCGTCGATGTGATCCGTATGTCTTGCGTGGCCGGTGCTGCCAAGGAGTGCCCAGGCTTGGTGGGACCCTCTGAGCTCGCCCGATGGAAGGTGTGCTTTGACTTCGCAGGCCGGAGCTTGAGCATCTTGGGAATGACCCGTGATATGGTGCTCTCGCACACTCGGCACCCGGCCCTTTCAATCATTGACTTCCCGGGCGGCGACCCCTGGAAGGCCGAGGGTGTGAAGGATCGGGCCGCGACTTTGCGAACAAGTCCCCACAGCTTCGCTTTTGCCACGGCTGCCCCGGCCTTCTACGAGACCCAGCCTGAGGAGGACCAGTTTTCCGGCGACCGGGCCCCAAATGAGTTCTTTGGCGACTTTGGTGTTGAGGCCCGCCGCCGTCGTGACCAACAGTGGCTGGATATGCTGGAGAATGACCTCGGCGTGAAAGTGATAAAGGAGCTGCCCGATGCAGAGGCAACCGGCTCCGAGCACAGCGAATCTGGTCACGAGGGAGCCGAGACCGCCTCGATTACGAGCCATGAGTTTGGTGTTGTTGCCGGCAGCGACGGGAGTACCAACGAAGAGTCCGATGAGGAGTTGGTCCCAGATGTTGGTGGCAGGCCGTGCTTTTTCCACAAGACGATGCGAAAGAAAGTTCGCGCGGCCCAAGGGGCCATCAAGGCCGATTTTGGTGATGGAGGCCTGCTCCCTTCCTCTTCGGCGCCTCCAGGACCAGCGGAAGAACCACGACATGTACGACGACCCGGCCCTTGGCGCGTCTTAGAAGTCTTCTCTGTGACAATGATCGTGTCTCTCCTTGCTGTGGCCAGGGGCTGGGAAGCTGGTGAGCCGTTGGCTGGACCGAACTGGGACCTCTACGACGCGGTGTGCCAGAAGGACGCTCTCGATTACTACCGCCGCTTCGACCCAGACCTCTTGATAGTGTCTTGGCCCTCCTCTGCTTGGACCCCTGGCTGGAAAAATGGCTTCCCGGGGAAGGACAACCGTGCAGAGCAAGGCGCTGAACTGTGGAAGCAACGTCGTCTGCTGGCTTGGGTTCAAGATTTGGTTTTTGCTCACCGTGGCCGTGGAGGGGCCCTTCTCGGCGAGAACCCTATGACCTCGCGTTCTTGGCAGGAACCTTTGGTGGTGGACACGTGGGCGGGGCTTCCCCAGTGCCAAGTTGATATGTGTGCTTTCGGGCTGCAGCGGCCCACTGGAGAATGGGGAAGCCGAAGGCCACTTTACCTGCGGATGCCCACACGGGTTGCCAGCCAGAAGGAAATCGTTGAGAAGGTGGCCCGCCTTTGCCCGGGGACCCATCGACATGCAC